GTCTCAGTCTCTGGGCCACTGAGACTGTGCTCTTTTCATAATGCTTTCAGAAGTTTAGGAGGAGGCAAGAGCCAGTGAAATTAGGGTGTGTTTTATTGTCAAATACTCAGGTTCAAACCCAAGCTCTTCCCTGTACTGCTCATATAGGCGAGCTTGGACCCTTTCCTTCCTTGCTTCCTTGTCAGATGTCCGTCAAGGGCCTATGCTATCCATGTCAAACAGGGAGCTGGGAGCCGAGAACATACCAGTTAACTCCATGGTCCCAGCCTTCCTAGACTTCCTTCAGTCTGATGGATAATGCAAACCGTGAAGCAGGCAGTCATGACATAGTTGGAGAAGGGCTGTGTGTGTGGGGGAGCACCAGATGTGGTGGGAGCACCTTGAGCTTCTCTGGTATAGCAGCTGCTCCCCCCAGGCTAGTGCCGTCATGTCAAATAAATACTGGGTTTTGAAGGCTTCGTCCAAAAAAGAAAAAAAAAGTTAAGTATTTAGCTATTAAATTAACTATTTCAAAGTATTTGAATTATTATTTAAAGTTGTTTAAAATTATTTGAAGTATTTAAATGTTTAATTATTAAGTAGTTAATACCTTTTATATTAATTACACGTGAAAATGATAATATCTGGGAAATTCTGAGTTAAAGAAAATATTTTATTCAAGTTCATTGCATCTCTTCCCTTTTGCCCTTTCTATGTGGCTGCTAGAAAATGTAAGTTTACATATGTGGCCCACATTATATTTCTATTGAGCAGCTTTGCTCTGGAAGAATAAGAACATGGGATGTTAGCACAATGGTCTGAGACCATTTGCCATGTGACCTCCCCAGGAAGGCGGGCGAGAGATGAGTAACATGTTCTCTCCCTTCTCATGACTTGTCAGGGGCCACTGTTCACTGCAGGACCCTTGGCCCTCTAATAATATGGAAAGAGTGTCTGGTGATAGCTATGGAGCTTCTGGTTCAACCTCCCTGAGGATTCCTTAGTCTTTGGGTCCAACATCTTGAGACATAACTCTCCAAATCCTTCCTCTCCTTCCCCACCCCATAAGAAGCAGGGCTAGCGATCAAATGAAATAGATGTTGCTTAATGCCATGCCCATAGCCACCTTTGCTTTTCTTTATTGTAGCAAAAGAAAACCATGTGAAATATCTGGAGTGAAATCTGATGTCCAGTATAGCCATTGGATTAAAAGAGAAGACTCTTTGGACTAACAATGAGGTCTTTTTCTACATGAGATTCACAAAACTGGGAGAAGTCTTGGGAATGGTCTAGTCCCATTCAGATGCCCTCTTTTGGGAAAGTGAGGCTCTGAGAGGCTAAGTGGCTTGTCTAGGGCAGCAGAGCCCGCAGAAGTGGGTGGGTTTGGAACCCAGTCTTCCCCCAACCCCCAACATGCCACACCATGTTGTCCATTCTTCTCTGAGATACTCCCTTTCCAGCTCCTTTCTCCTTCCTTGTATGGTCCTTCATCCTCTTCAGCTGCCTTTTCTCATTGATCCAGTGTCTTCCCTTTAATATACAGGGTGGCAGAAGTGGGAGTCAAAAAGATCTAGACAAGTTCGGGGATGGGCAGAAATTAACAAAACAAAATGGAACAGAAAAAAGAAAAGGATATTTAAAAAAAAGATTTTATTTATTTATATGACACACAGAGAGAGAGAGTGAGAGAGCGAGGGAGAGAGCGTGCGCCCAAGTAGGCTGAGGCTCCATCCCAGGACCCTGGGATCATAACCTGAGCTGAAGGCACACACTTCACCAACTGAGCCACCCAGGCGCCCTGAAAAAGACTTTGAATAGACACTAACAAATGAAGCCAAGAAGGCTTTCTTGGACTTAACAAAAGTTCGAGTGTAAAGGCAACATGGGTGTGTATGGAGGAGCAAAGGCTCAGAACCACAGGCTCAGGGCGTGAGGCCTGGCCCACGCGGCTTTGGAAAAACCTTAGCTTCCTCATCTTTAACCGCCCTCCCCCAGCTGTGCTGAAGAGCTAATAAGGCCGAGTTTCCTAAAGGACTTGGGGATCAGTAAAGCACCACCCCACCAACAGTGACTGGCCCTCACGGAAGGTGGGAGGTGGCCTCCGTGAGAGCGGGAGGGCCGCAGAGCCATCAGGCTGCCAAGGAAAGCGAACGTAGAGCCTGGAGCCTGGAGCGCGGGGTGTGGCTCGGCGCTTGTCCGCCTGCTTCTGGGGTACCGCGCTCCGCTCATTTTTGGCAATCGCATTTTAAGAGGGACCTTGGCAACCTTTTGTGGTTCCAGAGAAAGTCCTAAGAATAGCTTAGGGTCTGAGTGTCATGACATATAATGGGTGATCTAAGGATTCAGGGGATGTTTGGTCTGGAGGGGGGAAAAAAAGAGGACGGGGTTGCTGTTCTGAGATAAATGCGCGCTGTCCTGCTGCAGGGTGGGTTGCTAGGGGCCAAGCTGGGGCCCAGGGTTTGGGAGTCCATGAGAGGCAGACTTGGGTGTAATAGGAGCCTACCTAAGGCTCAGAGACCTTCTGGAGGGGCTCCCTGGAAAGGAGGCGGGCTGCCCACCGAGGGAAGTCTAGAGGCAGAGGTGGCCGTGCACAAGACAGAAGCCATAGAACTGAGACCTGCTCTGGCTGAGAGGTCAGACCCGGTTCTCTCTGCGACCCCTCCAGTCTGAGACCACCATTTCTTCTTCGAATCTCTCCCATTTTTCTTTCTGCTCTTCCTTGCCACGTTGGCTCTCTTTGACTTTCTGCTCCCTCTGTGAATGGCTTGAAGAATTTTAGATTCAGAAATAGTTCGGTAATAATTGATAGTCTGGTTTAATGGAATGTAGGAGGGAAGAACGTCTAAAAACAAAGGCAGTTTTGTTACTTTTAAAGGCACACAGTAACCTGTTAAATGGGGGAAGGAGCAGGAACACGGTCACATGTGTTAGAAAATCTTGTAAATGCTAAGGCAAATGGCTTATTTTTCACTATTGTTTAAAATGCAAACACAACTGCTAAGGGCCTTTGTTCTTGAATGGACCAGAATTTTCCTTGTTTACCCAGTTCTTTCCCTAGCTATGGAGACTGGTGAGTGTTATAGCGGGGCGGGTGAGACCGTAGCCGAATGTCCCCAGTTGAGTGGCCGTGGAGCTATTTCCAGAATTTTGTCCTGTCCTCAGTAGCAATGATAGTCTCCACCCCACAGCGCCCCACCTCAAACATCCCCACCGTCTTTTCAGAAACCTCCACCTAGACTCCAGGGCACAAAATAGAATTCGGCAGATCCAGGTGGAAAGGGGAGGGAGTGGGTAGGAGTGAGTAACATTTTGGTGAGGTTCCCTGAGGCCAGAGTCCTTTCCCAGCCCTGAGGATGACAGCAGGGACCCAGAGAAGACAGACTTCAGGACCTGAGTTCTGGGTCTTTTGGAACACTGTTGGTCACTTGTGGCAGGAAGAACCTGGAGAGGCAACGACAATGGCTCTTTGGCTCCTGAGACTGGCCAGTCATGCCAGGCTGGCCAGGGCAATGGGGGTTGCAAAGGCAGCAGAGGCCGATGACCAGCTGCTGGGCAACCATGGCCTCCTCCTCCGGAGGCTGCCCAAAATTGTAGGCCCCTATCTTGTAGGCTGCCAGGTTGAGCCCCCACCTCCTTGCCTAACCCCGCCTGGGTGTGACTTGGAACCCTTGGCTGCAGACAGCTCAGCCTAGAGCTGAGCTGATGGACCTGTTGTTGGCATCTCTGTTCTGGGGTGAGGGGTCAGCCCACTCTGATGTGCAGTCCACAGCCTCGCTTCTTCCCACATCTGTCTCCTCTCTGTGTCTCTCCTGTCTCACGGTGTTCTTCCACAGGCTCTGGTTTCGGAGCTTTCCTGAAACGCTGGCTTGGCTCAGTCCTCTCAGACGGGTCCTGCCCTCCCCGCAGGTTGCGGCGCGGTGGGCGCGAAGGTCTATAGACCGACCCAGATTCTCGGGTCCTACTCTCAGAGCCCAGGATTCAGGAGGTCTGAAAGGGCCCCAGATCCAGACCTCAGGTGTTTCTGATGTTAGCAGTCCCTGCCCCCGACTCCTTGGAGAAATACTGGTTTAAAGGAAAGAGCGAGAATTTGGGGATTTGAGAGAAGAAGTGAGTTACTTATTATGTTACTTGTTGAGCAAGTTAATGACCCTTTCTGAGCCTTGGTTTCCTAATCTGTAAAATGGCTCATTGCTTCATAGGGGAGTTTTCACATATCAATGAAATGAAGACTTTGAAATGTCTAATAAAGGCTTATTTAATAGGATTTTCAGCTTCCTCTCCCCATCCTGCAACACCAGGAAAGGGGCAACAGAGATTTTCCCTTCTTCCCAGTCCTGGCCTATCAGTGGAACCCCTGGGAGTGGGCACCAGTGAAAGGCCACGGAACAGTGTAGAGGAGCCTGCTTGTCTCCAGCGCCCTGTGGCTGATCAGCCGATCCTGATTTCTCGAGCAATGGCTTGAAAAGAAACCACCAGGAGGTCAGGGGTCAGCTGTCCGCTGTCATGTTTATTTGTAGTAAACCGCAGAGGGAAGACACACATACACACAGTACATTACAGAAATCCACGGCACTCTGGCAGGCGGACAGGCAGGCTCGAGCAGGCAACCACCGTGACAGAGAAGCATATCTACGGGCGGAGGAGGCAGTGGAGATGGACGAGTAAGGAGCAAAGGATCTGGACCCTGGCACTGTGCCAGCCAGTCACTGCCTCGGTCTTGGCAGGCAGAGTCTGCGATTATGGGCCGCAGGTGAGGTGTGTTAGGACCTTTAGCTTCAACCTATGCCCAGGGTGACCCCCAAACACTGAGGTCTAGCTAAGTTCTCTAAAAGGAAATGGTGCTTTTCCACGGGTGGGAATGGAGTCTCTCCGAACACACGGGCAATGAGAAAGGGTAAAATAGGTTTGAGCCACAGAAGGGAAAATGTTTACACGTCAGGGATCGAGTATGTGTGTTTGTATATGTCTGTGTGCGTGTGTGTAAACGTGGAGGGCTTCTCAAAAAGTTTCTTTGTAAGGTGTTTTTTTTTTTTTCATGTTGGTCCCCCAAATCAGCTGGATTTCTGAGCATGATCAATCCTTAAGAGGGAAGGGAAGATTCTTTAAAGGGCTAAGGGTAGCCCTCCAGGGTAGCAGGGCTAGGGGAAGCCTTGGGCCTGGTGGAAGACCCAGAAGAACAAGGACCCTGCCCCCTCTCCCATGGCCGCAGCGTTTACTCCAGGTAAAGGCAAGATCGTTGAAAAGGGAAAGTCTTTAGAGCCCCCTTGTTTGATAGATGGAGAAAGAGAGGTCCCGAAGGACACGTCCAAGGCCACGTGACTGAGACAGTGCTGTGGCCCACTCCCCATGTTGCTCTTGTTTCCCAGGCAGGGTTTCATCTCTCGGATCGTCCTGGCACGTGGGATGGCTCCTTCCACAGCAGCCTGTACGGAACAGTGGCCAGATTTTCCCAGATAGAAAGGTCTAACTTGTTTCCTGCAGAGAGAGAAAAGCATCTGTCAGAACCCCTCTTGCAGTGGCTTCTTTGGGACTATGCTTACTGGCTAACAATAACACTTGCCCAGAGATACCTACCAGGAGTAGAGGCTGATGGTATAGAGACGCACAAAAGGTTACTTGTTCCCATTCTGTGCAAGAGGGCAGCTGTGCCAGAAGCTGGGTCAGCAACTTGCCATTAGACCCTCTTCTCTTTAGTTGGATCTCCTGCCTCTTGCCATCTGAAGAAAGGAAGAACATTCTGTAGGTTTTACAATCTGTCTCCTTGCCTGGTGACCTACTCTCTAGGCACACTGCCTCCATCAAGAGTGTGAGCCATCTCGGCAGGTTCACACAGATCCAAAAGGGCCATCAGGCCCTGTCCAAGGGTAGACGTGGCTTGCCTCCTTCCCAGAGGCTGGGAAAAATGGCTTTGGAGAGGAATTCTGTACATGGTCACATTGGAACCAAGGTTGAATGATGCCCATTTGAAACTCAACTACAATCAACAGACCACAGACTTTGTACTCCACTGCCTACCACCTCAGCGTGCAAGACTGAACTCAAGGACATCGAAGGAAGAGCCTTTCCAGCAACAGGGGGCTGATTCCCTAACTTTCTGCTCAGTGGACTTTTTGTATTAACTGAGATACTTGATCCAAAATGGCAACTCCAGTAGGATTACGCTTGTGGGTTATTGCTTAGTCTGTTTTTGTTGATTTCAGAGAAGTCAAACCCACCTCCCTGCCCTGGCCTCTAGTCCTCCCTTTGCTCCTGATTCTGTTGTTTTCATACTGAAGCTAATACCCTCTGGTCTGGGATGTTCAGCTGTGTTGCTCTCATTAAACTTCCCAATGGTTCTATATCCACAAAGGTGCTCTATGCCTGAGATGTGACTCAAAAGGAAAAGAAAAAAAGAAGTATAGTACTGAACAGAGGGGTTTCAGTTAGACATTGGAGATAATTTCTGGATGGGAGAAGCTGTGAGACACTCAAATTACATCCTGAAATCAAGCTCTGGACTATGTTCTTTGATCTTCCCTGGGCTTTTTCAGCACAGTCTTGCCTGGAGATAACAAAGTGGGCAAGTGTCCCCTTAAGATCCCTGTGATCCTCTGATTTTATGTATGAAAACTCTAAAAATAGTATCACGGGAGAAAAGGGAAGAGAAACATCACAAGAATAAAAGAAGAAAAGGTGGAAGAAGTAGGCATTGGGGGTGGATGGAAGTTGGGAAAAGCAGAACGCAATGGGAAATGGTGGAGAAAAAGCAAGAGAACTGTGTTGAAACAGGTTAAGGACCCTTCTAGTGCCTGGCAAATAGACATTGGTTAATAACACAATATTTATTGATGGATAAATGAACAAATGTATGAACTACCCTCTCTGGCCCCATCTGACAGGTGGGGAAGCTGAGACATAATCTGACACTTGCCCATGTCCCTACCACTCCTTGGTGCCAAGCAGGAAATGGCGCTGGCCCCAGGAGAGGAACAGAGGAGGAAGAGGGCATATCCCCACTTGCCTGTGGGTACAAAGCACCCTGGGTCATGGCCTGTGAGGCTCAAGGAGGAGAATGAGGAGGCCCAGGCTGAGCTTCTCTGTCTGACACTGCCCTGAGCTGCCCAGGCCTGGAGTGACTGGGGGCAGAAGGGAGCCCATCACTGTCAAGGGCACCCACTCCTCCCCCTCCTTTTCTTCCCTCAGTGGCAAGAGAATAACCAAGTCCCTTCTCCTCTTGGGAGCTATGTAAAACATTCCCTGACTTTGGACGTTGGTGTCATGGCCTTCCCTTTCTCTCTCTCTCTCCCCACTTCTCTTTGAGTTTCCACAGTGCAGTTCCCCCAAATTCCCCAAGAGTTTCTTTCCTCCCTCAAGACAACGGCATCTGGGAGAGGAAGGAAGTTGTCACCAAGTCATCGGAGGCAGGATCAATTTCCTGTGATGGGAACACTTGAAAGACCTACATAAATGTTCTGTTTCTTCCTCTGGAGGAAGAGGAGGATTTCCATTTTATTTTGTCTCTCTCTGCCCTAGACCTTGCTCGCAAACATCTCAGAAGGGACATCAGAGAGGGAGTCCTCTGAGATGTCAAGGAAGCTTCGGCCCTTACGGCTCTCACTGCTCCTCCGGGGTGACTGAATGCATATGGGCTCCGCAGAGACAGAAGCTGAGAGAAGGGATAGAGCCAGTGTGAAGGGGCTTGACACATGCCAGTGGATTCCGTCCTTTAAATACTATTTCTGCCCCTCGGGAAAACTCCACCAATTTAAATCACTGGGATTTGGGAAGCAACACTGCGCTTCCTTCTCCCTGCTACAAAACCACTACTGAACAGGAGTACAAATCAGCCTCTCTGTTCTGAGGAGATAGAGAAGAGAAAAATCACATTGCCTAGACAAAGCAAATGCGAGCATGCTCCTGGGGAAGGCCTGCCAAGAGCTCTTATATAAGCTCCAATGAGCTCATGTGTTTTCTTACCCATCAGCGGATCCTGGGCTTGGGCTTCGGAGGCCCGGGGTGAGGCTGGAGGAAGAAGCTCAGGAGAGATTGTGTGCTTCCAAAGAGGGGGCGCTCTGGGAAGAAAACACGTTCCTACTCTCTGGAGGGTGGAAAGAATTTTCATCGCCGAGTCAGTCAACAGAGACTTGCCTTCCTTATGGCAGCAATGTCATGGAGAAAGAAGGTGGTGCTTGTTCTTATGAACCCCATGGTGTGGGGGGAGGGGGTAGTGGGGTGGGGTGCTTCATGAGTCAAGAGGTAGAAGTGCCCTGAGGGTATGGATAAGGAAGCTTTTCCATTGGATGCGTGGAAAGCCAAATGGGTGCTCAGTTAGGTCCACCAGCCACAGACTGGGTATCAGGCCTTGGTCTCCAGTTGTTGAGGCCACCAAGGCTGTTTTGAATAGGAAATGAATTTCACTTATTGACAGAGACAGGCTGAACATTCTGGAACCTGCTGTCACTCATTCTGCCTGCTTCTCTTCTGTTCGGCAGAATCACCGAGCCGGCAGACTTTTGCCAGCAAACTACCCAACCACCTTGCCTGCCATCTTGTCCACAACATTTGCAGTTAGCCTGCCCTGACCCCAGCAACGAAGCACAGAGCAAGTGTGCCTACTGAAGATGCTATCTTACCCTGCCTAAGTGAGCCAGCGCTTCTCAACCAAGCTTCCCAGACGTTCTCCTGGGAGTTGATGTACTTCCCGTTCAGTTATGCCCCAGTGGAGGGGGAGGACCTGTCTGTGCATCTCAGCAGCTTACCGCCACCCGCCGCCCCACCAGGTCTAGTGCCATGCTCATCACATGGTGGGGGCAAAAACCACAACGGTCTTTTCTATGATTAAAGGAATCTGCTGATAGGATGTTTTACTGTTTTACCGGTGCCCAGTCATTCCATCATTACCAACGTTTTAAACAATTTTTCTTTCAAAAAAAAGAACATGCAGTGTTCATGTAAATTTCTACCTCCACACAAGTGCTTTGTGTTTTCTCTCTGGCATCATTAGTGTGTATAAGACTTTCCCACTTCCCCGCTTCGTGTCTTTTGAGAATTTAGTTAATGTGCTGTTGCCTTTCCTCTCTCTATATCAATCAGGAATGTTCTAAATACAGCTAAGATCTTCCTTGGGTTCCACCCAAAACTTACTCCTCAATAATTGTTAGAGTGATGTCCTGATTAACTTCTATTTGGGACTGAGAAATGACTGAGCTTATGAGAGCTCCCATAAGCAGTGCCTTTCCCACATAAGGAAGGATCCCCTATAATGATATATGCATAAGTATTTTGGTGTGAGATGTCATGACATCTGTAATTTACTTTAAAATACTTCAGTAAAAAAAAAAAAACATATGGGAAGATGGTAACGACTGCTGAATCTGAGTGACAGGTATATATGTTCTCATTATACTCATGGCTCTGCTTTTCTGTATGTTTGAAAATTTCTATAATAAAAAGAGATTATTCCCAGATATTCTAATTCAAGGAAGTATATTTAACCTGGATGGCCGTGGTGGTAAGCTTTAAGAGGCTGACAGGAAGAGGGAGGGAGGTGGGATTACTTTATCCTTTTTATCATTTTTTAATCATTATCATTTTTTATCATTTTATATTTATCCTTTTTTATCATTACTGACATGCCTGGTGGTAACAGAGTGTGATGATAGAAAACCTCAAACAGCAATTTAATAATATCCTCTGTTATTCATCCCTTCCATGGACATTCGTTGCTCTGAGTTAAAAGATCTAGTTAGTTCTCAGTTCTTTTACCTCAAAGACTCAGGGAAAGAGGAAATATTTACCAAGAAAATTTTTCTTTTCTTGAAGATCATGCCATTTTCTGGTAACCAATTGGTACCAGTTTTTTTAAGAAAATAAAAAAAGACCAAAACAAAATTCATTATTTTGAAACTACTAATGTTTAATCCCTCAACAGAAAATGCACACTTTCTGGAGTCTTTTTCTGGATTGCCATTTACATTGTGAAGTTTAGAAATTAATTTCCTTTTGTCTTGTCTAAGGAAAAAAAGTATTTCGTTACCCCTCAACTTGTAATTCTTGTTAAGTTTCCATTTTTAAAAGGATTTTTTTGGGTTTTTTGTTGAGGAAAAAGTTCAAAAAATTTTTTTGCATCATTCTAGAAGCAGTCTTTTTACCCCAAATTATGATTTACCCAACAGATTTTTAAAAGGATGTTTTGGAACTCTGTTCTACCTTTACGTATTTGTTACTGAATTCAGATGTTTGACTTCCTGACCTCATTTCACTTTCTCCTGGTCCTTAATATGGTCTCTGTATCCTTTAAGGTGATCTTTCATACTATGTGAACACCCTGATCTGGTGAGTTCTTTACCAGCTGCCATTGTTGACTGTCTGCCGTCTAAGCAAGGTCCTAGGACCAGACCCAGCTGGCGCCTTGGAGAGAGGGCCTAACAAGAAAGGAGGGTAAGGTGCGCACGCACCTTCCATAGCCCAGATCCGCTCCTCCTCCATGGGCCTCTGCGGCTGTTTCCCACTCCAGCTTTGTGGACTCGGGTTTCAGGTTTGACATGGAAGTCAGTGAGTTGTGCACATGGGCTTGGTTTGGGGTAGTAAATCCCTACCCCAGTGCTTGCAGCTCTGAGGAATCAGCAATGGCCCTGCAGGCACAGGCCTGGTTTTGAAGAGGGATACTGACAGATCTGCCAGTTTCCTTGTCTGTTAAGTAGGGAACCATATGCCACCAACTTCATTAGAGTGCCTGTGATATTTAACAGTGGTCATCAAAGTAATAGATTTGGGACCACACAATAAATGATAGTTATTTACTAGCAATTTCATTAATGCCTGGACATGTCCATCTTCCAATTAACTCAACTTTAAGCTGCCTTAAGGAAAAAAAAAAAAAAGATCTGTCGGTCCTTTCTTTCATTTTTTAACTATAGTGCTCAGTTCTCTTGCCCAAATAAATCTAAAAAAAAAAAAAACAAAACCCGTTCTCCAGTTGTCTTTTCATCTCTTGAATCTGTACCTTATTATGCCGATCTCTTACTGTGTTGTAACTACACTTTTGCTGCCTTTTTAGTCTTTGTCCATTCTGACCCGATAGCTAAGAAGTAGATTGCAAATATTTCTATCTTTCTGTCCAAGTTGAATTTCATTTTTTTCTGAATCATGCAACTGCCCTCCATGTGACCTAGAAAGCCCTTTGATGATCCATATTTAGCTGTGTCCATCACTCAACAGATGTCTGGGTAGTTAGAGGCCCCCATGAGCTCCCTCTACATCCTGTGGTTTCAAGTTCCCGAGTTGTTAGTTAAAAAGCTTTCATTGCCTCTACCTCCCCTTCCCCTACCCATTCCAGGATAGAGGAGCAGACACCCAGTTTAGCTATTCATTCATTTAAGAAACATTTACTCATTACCTACTACATGTTTGGTACTGGGTTATACGTTCTCTTCTTTACTTCCAACTTGTGTTTTCCTCATTTGGAGCATTTAGAGTTGTCCTCATGTTTTCTGATTATTTCTCTAGAATCTGTGCTGAGCATCCAATCATATGGTCTCTCCTAGCTGCAGGGCTTCCTGGTCCTTGGGAGACTTGAAGGCTTCCCTGCAAACTCTGGTGGCTTGCTGTAATGCACCTGTCAACGCAGCCACAGATCTCAGGATAACGTGGGCTCCATTTAAGGGAGCTGAGCGAGCCGATGAGGCCGCAGGGCTCAGCTTGCCATTCTGCACCACAGGCATGAAGAATGAAGTGGTGGCCAGCGTGGATGCCCAGCAGGTTAAACCGTTAATTTCCCAAACCCCTTGGTTCTCTGTGTCCCTGGTTTCCCACAGAGATCCCCATGAGGAAAGAGGCCTGTCTGCTTTTTGAGCTCTCTGGATCTTCCCATTAGATAGCTTCTCTTGGCATCTGAAAGGCAGCCTGCCATTCTGTTCTCCTGCGGAATACAGATGGCCCAGCCCACGCCTATCACTAATGAGGAGCACATGCAGAGCCTTCTTGCTGGAGGCTCCCTTCAACAACACCAGCCCTCCTTCCCCGTGCAGGCCAGTCACCGTTGACCATGGCATTTATGTCTGAGAAGGCTGCTTGCTGCTCTCCCACCCACGGAATTGAACAGAAAATCTATTAGGGAGCCCTGGGAGACGAGTCCCATTCCACTAGAATTTGAAACATTGAAGATTAAGTTTTTGCTGCCAATCTGATTGCAAAGTTGAGGTTTGGGGTTCCAGCTGTCCATGGAGGCTGTTAAGTTTAAATATGAACAAGCACTGGAAGTTCTTTAGAAGGAACGTGGTTAGATGGCTATACAGAGGTAGACCTGATAGATCAATTTGCCAGCGCCATGTAACCTCACCCAGAATGATAGTAGGGTTGGGAACGGACGAGAATGTTAAAAGCACTGAAGTATAGTAGTAAAAGCATTCATTTTTGGTGAGACAAATCCATGTCAAGTCTTAGCTGTTACTACTTACTATCTTTTTGACCTTGGACAAGGTACTTCACCTTTCCATGCACTAATTCCTTTATCTGTGAAATAAGTACAATGCCCATATCATAGGCTGTTCTGAGGATTAAATGGGACAGCACATGAAAAGACCTTGACATGGTGCCTTGTATCCAGTAAGCGATAAATGGGAATTCCCTTTCCTGTATCCTTTTCCTGTTTTCTCTCTGTAGCAGAAAGTTGAAAGACATACTCCAGCATCATGGGACATCAAGGTGAGCTACAAACAATGGCTCCATGCTCTCTTGTTTTATCTAAAACTTGATTGATATTTGAGGTGTGGGATGGTTTCTTTTTCCTTGTTATTGCAAACCAGATGCAGGTCTGATATTTGTGACTAGAAGAGTTCCACACTGACATTATGGACCCCAATAGAAAGGCAGGACCTCTTTTTGTCTAAATACTCAACCTCATTCCTTTAACTCTCTAAGCTACTAAGGGGAGATCAACACCACTAGCTGTCTGTGGAGGATGTCAACGATTCTGGTCAACCCTGCCATGTATTAGGTGTGGTTTATCTGGTTAGTACCCACTGATCCAGAAATGTCTCTGGGAGTCATTTTCATTCTTTCAGAAAACAGGGGATACTGAGGTAACCCTTTCAAAAGGAAGTAACAGATATTGATTTAACACTATTGCTGACAAAAACAGTTTCAATAGCTTGTTGGACAAGGTAGATTGATCATTGCTTGTTCCCCACCCAACCAGGTCAAGACCCTTTCCCTCAGAGTGGGTAACAGTTCACTCCCCTGGAAGGCAACCCCTTCCCTATTTGGCCAGTTCAAAAAGCAGGCATTACATTGAATACAAATCAACCTCTCTAGAACTGTGCTGTTTAGACCTGGTTCTGTTCTCTGGAGCTACACAGATGAAGTCTGACCCCCGGCAGCTATGAAGTGTCCCCAATCCCTCCTTCCCCACCCCCCAACCCCCAGGGGGCAAAGAGTCGAGAATCTTAATTCTTGCTTTAAAGCATGTAGAGGGGAAAAATAAAAATAGTTAAATAGTTACTTAGAAGAAACTAAAGAGTGTCTTAAGACTGGAGACTCCTTGTCCTAGAGAAGTACTTTTTGGAACATTATTGCTACGGATGGTTACTTGTGTGACCCTGTCTTTACTGAGAACAAAAAGAAGAAATGGTGGGCATAAAGTAGTATTTCTAATCTATAGATGTTGGCAAACAAATAAAGGGCCCTATAATTCTTTACTGTGAATTCTTAGAATTCTAAGTCTTTCTATGTCTCTCCTAGAAAGGGAGCTAGTACTTGATCAAATAGCTCTGTTTTCATGGAGCATTTTATGGCTACTAGCATTTTGTGAAACGTGTCTTGGGAAAGTATGGTCTCAGATACGCTGTGGAGACTTAGACATTTGAAGTAACTTCCTGATTGGTTATTGTTGGATCCCGGAAACCGGTGGCCAAGGAACACTACGAAGTTTCTTTCCTTGAAGGGTTGGTAGACTCTTCCTCCCTTCCCTTTCCCCTTGATATTAACATGAGGCACACCCTTGACTAGGGATGTTAAGGTGCAGGCCTGGGACGTAGGGGCCTCTGGAAGTCTAGATCCTTCCCAACCCCATGATTCTATTTTTATGAACACAATTGTGGTGTGTTCCACGGAAGGTACAACCTAGCTGGGACAGGAGGTAACTGAGGATTTTGGCCAAGAGGAGAGGGGGCTAGAGATGGGAGAAGTTGATGCAATTATTTTTGTCAGGAATTGGAACCAAAGCAGCAGGAGAGAGTAAGTTTTAAGACTCTCTGGCAAAGTAACTTCCTAATCTGTCACTGAGTATGTGTAAAAAAGTGATTAGTGGGTCTCTATATTTATCATGATTACTCACAAATATGTAATTTGCATAATATATACAGCACATTAAGTACTATGTCACCTTATATAATGTGCATATGTATAATGTATATGCATGTTATGTAACGCCAGTCTGGAGGCTCTTCCAGATTCTGCCAAGTATTTCCTAATTTATTTGGCAATTTTAACATATCTTTTCCATCTGTGGAAAGAACTATCTTGAGAGGAGCTGGTCTCTGACCTGAAATATAATCATTCTACTAAGCCTATCTCCATTCTCAACTCACTGGAGGAAATCCACAAAGACCAAGCCATAATGAGATGCAACTCTCAGCTGAGTAGTCCAGGGGCAACACAATGTATTAAAGACTTTCTGTTTCATTATTTTTATTGCTGGTGGGGTAGAGCCATGGGGGTGGGTGGGAACAAGTCTGTGGCATGGTTACAATCAGAACAGGATGAAGACTAAGGGACTGGATTCTGCACTGATTTCCTAACTGTGTGACTTTGAGAAGTCACCGAACCCTCATTAAGCTTCACTGTCTCATTATTAACATCGGGATATTAATACCTTCTCCACCAACCTCTGAGATTGCTGGGAGGCCCACTGTGGTGAAGTACTCTGCCAGAAGAAACCACGGTCACAGTAGTTAAGGGATGGGTTGCGATAGCACACTAAACAACAACACTAGACTTACTGAGGTTACCAAACTGGAAGTACTGTTCCACTGCCTTGTTATACTCTGTGGTTCTAGGGGGGCCTTGGGACATGTCTCTCAGGCGACACTCCAAGTCCTGGGCATGAACAGGCAGGGGCCACTCTGACTTGTGAATCTCTGAGACTCAGTTTCACCTGTCCACAGTGCCACATCTCAACAGCCTCAATCTTGGGGGATCAGGGTCGAAACACACAAAAAACTGCTGTAAATACCTCCGAATCAGTGACCTCAAATCCGAATCTGCCTCTGTTTCAAAGTCAAGTGGCTTCCAAGATAGTACCTGTTGTTATTCTGGAGCATGCTAGTCCGTCCCGTCACCAAGGATCCCATCATTCAAGACATTCTTCAGGTGGCCTGGTTGTCCCCTCACCCACTATTTCGCGCTGTTGCACCCAGCAGGGTGGTCCTAGATGATTGCTTCCTTCAGAGTTAGGATCAGTGTGTACACACGATCTTAATTTCCCTTCCTTGTGCGAAGCTCCTGACTCAGTGCAAGGAGATTAGAGAGAGTTCAGTGGAGTGATGTCGAGTGGGGCCACGTGTCCTCTTAAGACATCTCAGAGGGGATGGAGGTCCAATGGAGCAAAGGTGCCAAGACAAATGCTCTACACAGACTTGCCCTCGGGGAAAGGAGGGTAATGCTGGCACCAACTGCATGAAGCCCACTGAGCTCTGCTGGGATGCCTCTGGGAACTGGCTGGTAGCACCTTGCAGAAGGTGCCTTGGTCCTTCTCGCGAGTCTCCAACTGAGGTCATCCCTACAGCCAGAGGCATTTCCAGACTAAGAGGCCATCATGACCATGATGAGTTGACATGTGGAGAGTTTAATCTCATGATATGTCTAGTGCCTTCAATCCAGACCAACTTCTTACCAGTTTAGGCCAGAGAGCATCTCTGGGAAGCATCATGCGGCACTCATTTCCTTGTGTGGGCCTATCCCATCCACACATGTGCTACACATTCACTCTTCCCTGGAAACCTGGATTCGAATGGAATAATTTCTCCATGACCAGAAATGACCCTATTCTAAGATGTGTGGGTTCTTTCCTCTAATAAATATCCTCTTAGTGGTACCTACTCCCAAACCACATTAGTTAAGATACCATGGACAAGTCTCTTAACTTTCCTAAGACTTGCTATCTCTGGCAATTGGGAGAGTAAATTCTGTACAGCATATCTTTCATGGCTGTTTTGAGAATCCAGAATAGGAATTCTCAGTCTCTTTATGATAAGGAGCTACTTTCATTTCCCTTAAGTCTCATGATCGCCATGGGGAAATGTGTCTTAACAATGAAATGGTGGAATGGGGGAGTAAAAACCTTCTTTTTCTTTTTCTTTTTCTGTCCCTAGTCTACAAATATTTCCCCCCCTATATATATATATATATATATATATATATATATATATGCTACATATATGTACACACATAAGACCATCAGAAGGGCCCTCAGGCCGGGCTCTGGGAGTCATAGGTACAAAGAGGCAGGTGGGAACCACCTGATGGTTTGTCTCCTGGTCTTCTGAGCAAAAGGCCCTTCCTTATCCTCTTCTCTGCCTTCAGGAATAGTCTGCCACCAGGGCTTGGAACTTAAACAGGAAACACGTTTTGGCTTGAAAAAGAAAGAAACTGGGGGTGGTTTTTTTTTTTCTTCCCTTTTTACACAATATTATGACACCAATTTGAAAAATAAATCCCAGTTTCTCTGCTTTCCCTCCCAGGTGTTCACAGAACTAAGAAAATAAATACCACATCTAAGGTGTGCTGTGAAGGCAGCTCTGGGGGCTCTTGGAGCCGTCTCTAAACAAACACACAGCCACCAGGAGAAAGCTTTGGGAAAATAACAAGTGCCCACTGACAGTGTGGAGAACCAAGAATGGAAACACAGCTTTCCACAGCCTTTCTGCCTCCTCAGCAAGTTCAGGGAGAAGTTGCCGCTTGAAGGACGACTAAGAAACCAACGTGAGCTTGCTGAGCCCTGCCAAGGGTTATGCTCTGAGAGCTGGAGGCCGTCTGTCTCTGTACAGAGGGACCTTTGTGTAAATTCTCTGGAATGGGAGCTCTTTCCCTTGGCCGCATCCGATCTCAACATAGGCAGGAAACCTGCAGCCTGCTTCTTACAAGCGTCCATGAGGGAACTTGCAGGACTGGTGGGAAGAAAGGGGGATTTCTCCTTCAGTCTCAGAAAGTCCCACTCATGGCCTTCTGGGAATGTGGAGGTTGCCGTATGAGCCAACCACACCCTGGTGGGCCCTAAGTCCATTCAGAATTTTCTGTTGGTGCTGACTCTGTTGGGGTGTGTCCATTGTTGAAGCAGAGAGAATGTAGGGCAAGATGAAGATTTCTTCCTGATGGGTGGCTTTGCTTCCACTGGTTAGAGATGAGTGTGCCTGTGTGCGTGTGTGTGCGTGTGTGTGTGTTTGTGTGTGTTACAGTCTCTTGTTTTCTCTCTTGGTTTAACTGGCATTTGGCATATTGTTTAGTCTTTTGAACGGCTCTTCCTCCTCAGTGAAAAGAAGCTGCTCTTCTGGGGAGGGCCCATCATCATAGGCGCTTGATTCTTGTGAGTAATTTTAATCTAAAAGCAAAGAGGCATAAATGAATTAGTGGCATGCAAATCCCAGCAATTTACGAGGGAGTTGCAGAGGATGGAAGGAAGGCCAGCTTTGGGTTGGAAGGAGCCCCATGCAGAAGGACAACTGTCCTTGAACAGCTTCAAAATTGGCAACTGGACCCTCACTGGGCCTGGAGTTTGGCACTGCTGGAAGTGAGGGGCGGAAACACTGGGGAGAGACAGGTGTGAGCTTCCCACGTGGTGATCAGCTCGCACCTGTCTTGTGTCCTTGCTATTCATAGATTCTCAAAATGTCACAGCCAGAGATCTCAGGGACCATCTCATTCAACCTCTCTGCAGGACAGATAAAGGAATGGAGGCCCAAGGCTCTAAATGAGCCTTGGATTAGCCTAAGGTCCCACAGAGAGGGCAGAACAGATACAGTCCAGCTCTTAGAGTCCTCACTTCCACTGCTCCAGACGGTGCACAGATATTAGCCAGTCAACTTCAAGTCAACCTAGAGGCTTTAGTCTGACATCTGACCCGAGTCACATCATGTGGAAGGTTTCAAGTGAGCCCCTTAGGTGTTTCCTCTTTTCTTAGCTTTCCAGGAAAAAACCAACTTTCTTTTTAAAAGCTGCTTCTTCTTCTTCTTCTTCTTCTCCTTCTTCTTCTTTTTTAATTTTAGGTTTTATGAGTTTTTTTTCTCCTACAGACTTTAAGTCAGTTGGAAGTGAAAGACACTGGTGAATTCTCATTTTTGTCTTTCTTCCCAATCTTATCCTCAGGGCATGGCTTCAGAATGCTAAATCCCTATTTGAATTGTGGCCTGATGACACTGCACATTACTAATCTGCATTATCAGTCCATCAGCATTTATCAAGTGTGACACATGTCCAGAGTAGGAAGATGATGTGGGAACAAAGCACTCAGGATTCAAGGAACTGGGTTTGGGTCCCTGATCTCCTGCTTCTTTGCTGTGAGACTCTGGATGAATCATTTAACCTTCAAAGCCATGCTTGCTGAACTGTAAAATGAGGATAGTAACATCTGTCCTGTTTTCCTCACAAAGTTGTTGTGAAGATCCAATGGGAGCCTGTCCATGAAAGCCTGCTGTGAACTGTGAAATGGAATGTAATGGTTAGTTGAGTAATTGTTATCTTACACTGGAGGTGAAGGAGAAAGATGTATGTCAAGAGAAGCCATCTATGAGCTCATTCTCATGGTTTCTATGTCATTGGAAATGGCAGTGTGGCCACAGAGAACCAAAGAGGAACTCTTGAAGAGAGAGACCCATCCACAAGTTTGAATTAATATAGGGATAAACCAAGTGGGGTCAAAAAGAAGTTAGGTAAGGAAGGAGAAGAGTCTGGATGGAGCAACTGAGGAAGAGTTTTAAGAGCTAAAAGGAAGGGAAGGAGATGTACTGGTGAAAAGAGAAAGGGAAGGCACCAGGTGGAAGGGCCACATATGAACTGGTTGGGTGCAGGGCAAAGGATGAGAGATGAGGTCAGGGATGCAGGTGGGGTGGTTAGTCTAGGGTTTTCAAGGGAAGATGGCAGAGGCCAGGTTTAATATGAGGTAATGGGGAGCCATGATAACTTTTAAATTGGAGAATAAAGACATGATGAAGAAAAGAGTTCCAGGGAAATTATTCCACAGCTCTTGTCAGGGTAAGCTGGAGTGGGGGAGACTCTGGCTAAAAGGGTACTATGGTGAGCCAGGTTTAAATTTAGAAGTCCTCAGGATATGGAAAGACAAGGATAAACCAAAAGACATTGTGGAGAATTAGCATAACTTGGGTGATGGAAGCTGCAAATGGCTCTTAATGTTGGTTTTCACCACCCAGGACCTCCAGAAGGGGAGGAAATCTTTCTGTTTTGTGGCAGTCCCCAGAAGAGCAAACCAAGAATATATCAAGTACCATTTTGTGTTATGGGCCTTATGATGGGCATTATGTTTATTCCAGAGGGACTCTGACGGAGCTTGTCTGTGTCATGTGATTGAGCACTAATGGACTAGAGTGACTTGTGGCACATGTCCTTGTGTTGTGGTGAGCCTTTTCTTATTCCTGGGCACCAGAGCCCCTGTGAGGAAAGACTCCATCTTCTTCATGACGCTACTCCCTGAACCAGCGCACGGCCTTTTGACAGCACGGGCCGTGGAAGTACTGACGGATGAGCACGACCCAGGAGAGAGAAAGGATGTCCTGGTAGTGGAGATGGCTATGTTTGGGACAGACAGGGGCAGCTGATATACTGCCTACATTTCCCGCTGATAGAGCCCATTTTTTGTTTTGTCTTTTGTTTTTTTTTGGATGATGGAAGTCCCTTACTTCTCCTTTTTCTTTCTCTAGCTGAGCAATTTATTTGCTTGTTAGTGCCTCCAGGGCAAAGAGGAGGAAGTGAAATTCAGATCTCCCATTTGGTTTTTCCACAGTTTTGACAAAGGTCTTGATGGGATGGGGTAGGAGTTTGGAGATGCTGGCTAACATGAGCTTTTGATGTGGTCTATGGAGTCCAGTGCTATAGGTAACTGAAGGTAAGGAGTAGATTATATTTTTGAGTCAAAGAGATGTCAGTCTTTTATCCCCTTCTTTGGGAGAGGCTAACTAGTGGGTTAACTAGTTCAGAGCCCATTGGAGGAGGTAGCTGGACATGGTGGAGCTTGCCTTTTTAACCCCCGAAGGAAAGACAACATCCCATATCTTTGTAATTAGAACCCAAATTTCTCTGCTAATTGGGCTGTTCAGGCAATTAACTGAGGTCTTTATGATTTTCTTAAAGACCTTTCAAGAGATTTACAACATTCTAGAACAAGCACTGAGAATAGCAGCCCCATTTTCTTAGTTCTCTGCTCTATGAGGGAGAGAATCCTCATAGGCTCTTGTGTGATAGCTCAAAATTCACAAAACCACTGCAGCATGTAATTTCCTTTTTAGAATGGAGTACATTTTAAAATTTTACTAGTGCTGAGTGTTGAGTTTGTTTGGGGGGCCATTTCCGGCAAATCAACACATTTTTATTACTCCAAGAGAAGCAATAGACTAAGGGACTCCTTCCTGAACGTTGCCCCCTCTGGGCAGAAGACTCCGATGATGTCCCGCAAAATGGTCAGTAACTATAAGCGTGGACCCTTCCCAAGTCATTTGGGAAACACTCCTGCTTAAAGCAAGCCTCGGGGAGATGGGAGAGCGCTTGTACAATCTTTTTAGGTCTTTGCTATCTAAGTTCTTTGGATGGATGCCCTGCTTCACGAGAGGGTTTCTTGCCACCAGAGGCTTTCAGATATAGCTGGACAGTTGGGTTTGCCAGTGGTGGAGGAGAAATCTGGGATTTATTGATAAGTCAGGGAATTTGACTAGATTATTTGTTCTCCAGGTATGGTCCCTACACCAACAGAATCAGCATCTCTTAGGAACTTGTCAGAAAGGCAGATTCTCATGCATCCAGAATTACTGAATCAGAAACCCAGCAACCCGTATTTTAAAAGCCTTTCAGGTTATTTGGACACACACTTAAGTTTGGGATTCACTGGACTAGATAACTGGAATCCCTTTCCACTTTGAGATCCTAACTGCAGGGGAATATTCTTAATTTTAAGCCTCAAATTATACTGCCTAGCTGATGATAAAACATGAAAAGTCATCTGACTGTGCTGTAAGCACAAGGCTAGTTTTCTTAATAATACAATTCTTATATACATAATTTATAGGTATAAAAAAACATATGCTCCTTTTTGAGAATTTGGGAAATAAGGAAAAATTTAAAAAATCACCTAGAGGTAATTGCTGTTAAC